TGGAAGTAGTGTTGTGGCTCAAGTGGTAGAGTACTAGCCTTGAGCTGAAGAGCTGAGGGACACCACCCAGGCCCAGAATTCAGGTACCACTACCAACGAAAGAAAAAAAGAAAGAAAGAAAGAAAGAAAGAAGGAAGGAAAGAAAGGAAGAAGGAAAGAAAGAAAGAAAGAAAGAAGGAAAGAAGGAAGGAAGGAAAGAAAGAAAGAAAGAAAGAAAGAAAGAAAGAAAGAGAAAGGAAGGAAGGAAGGAAGGAAGGATATAAATTTTGAGAAGCAACATTTAAATATTGGGAACAGAACAAAACAAAACTCTGAAGGAAATAGAAGAGAGAAGAATATTGTCTCCACCCCAATCTCCTCTTTTCTAGAGTATGCTCCATCTGGAGATATATATCTTCTCTGGTCTAGTTCTCATCTTTTAAGTATAATAATACAAATTTCATATGGGCAAGAAGTAGATAAGCCATGAGTCCTTCTTTTCCTTCCTTCCTCTACTCCACAAATTTCACTATCACCATTGAAAGGAGTTGTTGTTGTTGTTGTCGTAGTCCTCCTCCTCCTCCTCTTCCTCCTCCACCTCTCCACCTCCTCCTCCTCCTCTTCCTTCTCTTCCTCCTCCTCTTCCTCCTCCTCCTTCTCCACCTCCTCCTCCTCCTCGTCCTCCTCCTCCTCCTCCTCGTCCTCCTCCTCCTCCTCCTCCTCCTCTTCCTCCTCCTCTTCCTCCTCTTCCTCCTCCTCTTTCTCCTCCTCCTTCTTCTTTCCAGGCAATCCCTGGCACTGAGATGATGAGTTGATTCCATGGGGCTGGGTAATGAACAGTATGCCAATGACAGATAGGTGAATCCTTAGAGAATGTCTGTGCCAGTGTTTCAGACAAGTGTATATTTTTTTTATTTCCTCTATTTCCTATCCTGGGAGAGATAATAAATAGTACACAATCCCTTCATCAAATAATCACATTTTATTTCCAACTATAGAGATACTTCATTACTATTTTATTATGCATAATTTGGCAACAACATTAACAAAAAAAAACAAAGCCTAAAGCAGTTGCTCTAAATGTTACTTAAATTTCTCGGTGAAAATCTTTGGGTATCTTACAAGAAATAATGTCATGACCTTAGTTGACTCATATTGCTTGAGAAGAATATTAAAAATTTATTAACACTCTCTGTCTTCTTAAGCAAGAAAAACCGTTATAAAGCAGGCACCAGGAGATTTAGTTTCATCTGGAGAGTTTGCCAAGATCTCTCAAAGTATCTTCCCTCTCTTTGTTTATCTCACTACTTAAAAAAATAACACTTCATAATGAATTCTTTATAACCCCCTTTGTCATTAGTTAATACATAAAGGTAATAGCTTTAGGAGAGGAGCCAATTCACTGCATTTGTCTCCTTTTTATGTTTGTGGATGCATGGGTATTATAAAAATTGTAGCAAAATTGTATATTGCTCCTAGGTTTTAGAAACTTGGAAACACTATTGTATATTTTTTAGAACAGTGTAATCTCTATTCTTTGGCTTCCTTTCCTTTTACATCCTCAATAATCAGCAAATAGGCTATTGTTTGTGATCAACAAACAGTAATGTTATATTCTGAATAATGTAAATTAGCTTAAATATATGTAGATATATAATAGTCAACTGGATTTTCCTAAGGTTTCTACTATAGACATCTGTGTAATAATATTCTCTTTTGTATATTGATGACTAATATGCTATCCTAAACTGCTTCTGGTTTTTTTTGTTTTGTTGTTGTTGTTGTTGTTGTTTTTTGGTCGGTCTTGGGACTTGAACTTTGGGCTTGGGCGCTGTCCCTGCACTCTTCAGCTCAAGGCGAGTACTCTACCGCTTAAGCCCCAGTACCACTTCTGCTAAACTGCTTCTAAATCGAGAGTCTTTTGTGCTATATAAGAGACTCACAACCACAGGAATATACACTCAATATTAGATTAAGTATGTCAAACTGTCATATTCTTTATCTAACAGAAAAGAACCAATGAGTATGGGCAAACATTTTAGCACCTATGATCTACAGGGAACTAAGATACCCTGAATAGTGCTATAATTTTAGAATATGGAAATGAAGTGCTTTATAGTATTTATAGTTTAAGTATTGTAGAATGAAATACATTTAAAGAAGTTAAATGTTTAAGTATTATAGAATATTAAAAGGCTAGGGAAGAATATTTTGTAGTAAAATAGTTTGAGAACTTTTATCACAGGGACTAGCTTGCATAGATAAATGAATTATCTAAATTTTAATACACATATTAAAGAGAATTTATGAAGAGCTCATGAATCAGGCTGCTCAGGTACATGGTTCAAAGGTTTCTCTGTTAATGTAAGAGGGGTTTTACTGTCTGGTCTGCTTCCATTTCCAGGTTTTCTTAGCTAGTTAGGATATTTTCAATAGCGGCCAGTTTAGATCAGTCACCATTTTACCCTCTCAGGTCAAGAGACTGTAGTCACTATCTGGAAACTCTGTGCTTTAGGTAAGTTTCTGCTTTGCCTGTTCTATCTGCCACTGCTCAGACTGGCAGGTATCTGCAAATGGCCTTGAGGATGGGCTGTGAGTCAGACTGGGACCCTGGGTCAGGCAATTGACACTGTGTTATCTATGGCTTTTATTGTTTAGACATGACTTAAGAGCCTTTGTTTGGATTTTTACAGAATCCTCCCATGCTTATTACAAATTTTGACATTAGAAAGAAGCTATTTGAAGTGCTTTAGTGAGAGAAGGACAAATTCAATCTTACATTTTATAAAGTAACTAGACCGTGGTATTAGCTGGGTGGGTGGCCCAAGCCTGTAATCCTAGCCACTCAGGAGGCTGAGATCTGAAGATCATGGATCAAAGCCAGCCTGAACAGGAAAGTCTTTGAGACTCTTATCTCCAACTAACCCCCAGAAAATTGGAAGTGGAGCTGTGGCTCAAAGTGGTAGAAAACTAGCCTTGAGCAAAAGAGCTCAGGGACAATGTTCAAGCCCCATTAATGACAAAATAAATAAATAAATAAATAATAAACTCTGTAGTATTATACACATAAAATTTACTGTCTTGTAAGTTTATTTAAGTTAACATGTACATTTGATCTATTTTGTGACATTAGCAAAACTATTATCTGGAATAAAAAAGAGAAGAAAAATGAAAAGAGAAAATTCACAAAACACATAGCCAACAAATGACTCAACCTAAAAGTGATCAAGAATCTCACCTGAATACTTACTGTTCAGTAGTAAGAAAATGAGCAACCCAATTTTTTAAAAAGGCAAAAGACTGGAGTATCACCTTGTCAGAGCAGATGTTCCAAAGGATGGCAGAGGAACATGTGAACAAATGCTCAACCCCAGTAAACAGAGAGATGCAGATTTCAGATTTGTACTGCGAATGTGTAAGAAAAGGATTGGAGAGCACGTGTGTCTGCAGGAACAGGGATGAGGCAATTGTCAGAGAACTAGGTAAGCTCAGTGGTTGTTAGTACTGATATAGTGCTAGTGGAGATGGGAAGAAAGTGATCATTAGAAAATATCTGAGAAACAAAATGAGATGAATTTGGAGGGTAAAGCATCGGCTGTGTACTTCCACAGATGATATAATTCACACATATAGTGCAAATGGGGCAAAGACCAGGTGTGAAGAGAGTCTATAAATGTATGCCAAGTACACACCTTGGAGATATCAAAGTAGAAATATACAGTCAGCAATGGACTAACATGTGTGAACAGAAGTGACATGTAATGGACTGAGTTTTAGGTGAGAAGAGTAAGAGAAGAGCAGGATTTGATGTGTCAGACTCATCCACCATCTCCATGAAGTACTTCTTTGACAGTCTACACTTGGCAAAGCACAAACAATGTCTAGGTAAAAGGGAATTTCAGAGACTTCCGTTAAACTACTCTCTTACAATCTTTGAGTTTCTACCATTCTTGGGGTACCCTAGGCCTGCACTAAATGAAGCCAAAGCGCTCCTAGTTCTCATCACTCCTCTAGTCCCCCCCATCACCACACAGAATGTATTTATGTAGATGTGGCTTCATGAAATCAAAAGGTCCTACGGTGCAGATCCTTTAGAATCTTACTAAATGACCTTCTATCTAGGTTTTTTTTTTTCTCACATCAATTCTATAATCTGTGAAAGGAGGAGAGAAAAGAACACTTGCTTTATTTTAGTGCCTCATTAGTGAATCCTAACCATACTCTTCTTGGGTTCCTTTTCCATCCCAGACTGGTTCTCACATTCTTAGGAAGAACAATGAGATCTTTAAATTCACTCCGTTTGTCTTGAGAGGGGGCCAGAATTAATGAGCCTCCATTGATGTTCAGGCCGAGCTGCCTTCCAATAGAAAGACGTCTAGGGAAGGGACTTGCTCCCCACCCAGCCTCTCTCCTGAGTTTGGCATATTCTAGCCTGCATTTTGCAAGTCTTATAAATATAACAGAAAATAAAATACACTCCTCAGGCGCCTTTGTTAGAAAAGTCTGACATTTCAGTGGGTAATTTTGTCTTTAAAGGGTCCTCATGTATAACCAGCTTTGCCATTAACGGAAATCAATCTGAATGTCTTATTGTGTGTCTTTTTTCTTCTTCTTCTTTCATCACAGTTTGAGGTTGCTGTTGCCAATTTTTTTTTCCAAAACCTGAAAGACCCCCTCTCATTTTTTTTCCCCCAGACTCCAGCCCGGATGAATCCCTGCAGAGATTTCCCAGGCATAAGGGCTGCAGTGTGTGCTTTGGGAGGCATTGACCTACTCTGCTAACCCAGTGGCCTGAGCCAATCACAAAGAGGATAAGAGCTTTCCTTCCCACCTCTCCCCGTGTGTCAGCCTACTGGAAAAGAGGGACCAGTTGGCAATTCAAATCATTGGCTTTTTGCCTGCTTCTTATCCAAATAAGAAGGCCTGTGCTGCTAGTGTGTTGCAAAAGGGGCTTCTGAAGTGCAGTGGCAGGAATACCAGAGATCCTCTGTCTCCTGCCTGTTTTTGAGTTGAAAGGAGAGGGTAAAGATGGTGGAGCCTTTCTGTGCTACCTGGAAGCTGACAGATAGTCAAAACTTTGACGAGTATATGAAGGCTTTAGGTAGGTAGAAAGAGAATCTGCAGCTATATGCAGATCCCTTTCTTCATCTATCAAATTAGCAAGAGTTAGACAAATCACCCTATCCTGGTTGGTCACTCTACTCCTACAGAATGGCTTTTTAATGTAGCATTTATCTGCTGTGTTGCCCAGGGCCAAATAATGGAGCATTTGATACTCTGTGAGAGATGATATACTTCTGTGATTTTTTTTCATTTTTCCCAATGTTTCTTCATCGCTTATTATTTGTGCTCAGGAGTTGTATGGTTGTAGAGTAATCATTAATGATTCATCACAGGTCTAGTGGAACTTACACTTTACAACAGGATTCCAGGACTAGAAAGTAGATTTCTGTTTTAGGGGCTATTTTGGGAGTTGTTGCTGTCTGTACCTTTTCTTTTTACTATTTTAGGTGTGGGCTTTGCTACTAGGCAAGTGGGAAATGTGACCAAACCCACAGTAATTATCAGTCAGGAAGGAGAGAAAGTGGTGGTCAGGACTCAATGCACATTCAAGAACACAGAGATCAGTTTTCATCTGGGAACAGAGTTTGAGGAAACCAGTATAGATGACAGAAACTGTAAGGTAAGAAGCATTTTCTTCTCCAGGATATGAATAGGGAGGAAAGGCTAAAGGCATCTCTACTTCTGTGGGATTTTTTTGTACATTTTTTATTGTAAAAATGCTGTACAGAGGGGTAACAGTTACATGAGCAAAGGTAATGAGTACATTTCCTATTGAGCATTGTTGTGTTTTTGAGATTGGAAAGTAAAGAAGGTCTTCAGAATTTCCATTCAGGGAGAAGGGCACCAAAGGGAACATTCTGGCAGGCCTACGTTATATTCTAGACAATGAATTATTGATGTAGCCAAAATCTCTAGTCTGTGTGTCTCTTGCCATATACATTTACCATTTTATATCAGATCTATTCTCGAAATTATTGAACCAACGCTTAGACTTTGTTTACTCTCTCTGATTGTCATATATTGACCAACTTGCTGTCCTCATTCAAAGATTTTGCTTAAATCAGGATGACTAATTGAAAGCACTGGTTCAGAATTTTTATCTCTAATATATCAAATTTTTGAATCTAGATATATACATCTCAATCAAATTATGACTTATTACAGTTTATACAACAAAAGATCTAGAAGTAACAGTGAAGAATTAATAGGATATTTAACTAATACTAAATATCATTGTAAGGATTAGTAGGATATTAGCTGGCAATAATGTATTCAATCATGCAGCTCTCCAGAAGTCATGCCACTTGAATTCAAATCAGAAATATTAATTATCTCTATTTTTTATTGTTGATTTCAGTCTGTTGTGAGTTTGGATGGAGACAAACTCATTCATGTACAGAAATGGGATGGCAAGGAAACCAAGCTTGTACGGGAAATTAAGGATGGCAAAATGATTGCGGTAAGGGAAGATTGATGGTTCATTTCTCTTTGTGCCCCTCCTCCTACTTTTCTTATCTTCCTCCATCCCTCTGTTCTCCCTTCTTTTTGTTTTTCTTTTCCCTTCCTTAATAAAATTATGTCACTGTATGTAAAACTAGAGACATAAAATGACCTGAACTACTTGCTCTTGTAGCTCAGCTTTGTTAAACATATGCTATTGATTTACCCCAAGTGGTAAATCAAAGCAAGAACTTTTTGTAGGATTACTGTGAATATCTCAAATGAAATTTAAACATAAAACAGTCACAAAATACATGAAGGTAATTGTTATTCTGAAAACACCAAGTTTGTTTATTTAATGGCTCCTATATCAAACTGGAGGCTTGTTTTTTTTTTAGGTTTTTAAAAACCATATTTTACTTATCTTTAAGTAGGTATACAAAGGAGTTGTCATTCACTGAAGCAGTTTATCTACCCCTCCCAACATTTCCATTGCCTATCTCAATTTTACATTATATATTGAATTTTTGCAATTTAATAAAGCAGTTTATGTGTATGATGCACCTTGATCTGTGTTACCACTTCAATATCTTCACTCCTCTTCAACTCACCCTTTCTTTTTTCTAACCCCTTCTTACTCTATTTTAGTTTATGTAAGATTAGTACAGATTAGTTAGAGTTAAAAAAATAGAATAAATGCTCTGATTTATCTTCAGGGAGAATTAAACTCATGTTATCTCCCTCTCTTTCTCCCTCTGTCTCTGTCTTTGTCTGTCTCTCTTTCTCTCTCTCTCCAGTCCTGGGACTTGAACTCTGGACCTGTGCACTGTCCCTGAGCTTCTTTTGCTCAAGACCAGCTCTCTAACACTTGAGCCACAGCTCTACTTCTGGCTTTTTTTTATGATTAATTGGAAATAATCTCACAAACTTTCCTGCCTGGGCTGGCTTTGAACTATAATCTTCAGACCTCAGCCTCCTTAGTAGATAAGATTACAGTATGAGCTACCAGTGCCTGGCCACTCACTTAGAAAAAAATATATGTATATATATATATATATATATGTATGTTCAATAACAGTGGGCATGTAATCATTATATAATAGGAAAATATTAGCTGGTTGCTAGTGGCTCACACTGGTAATGCTAGCTACTTGGGAGGCTGAGATCTGAGGATCATAGTTCAAAGCTAACCCAGGCAGAAAAGTCTGTGAGACTCTTTTCTCCAATAAACTACTCAGAAAAAGCTAGAAGTACCACTGTGGCTCAAGTGGTAGAGATTTAGCCTTGAGTACAAAGAGGCTCAGGGACAATGCCCAGGCCCTGAGTTCAAGCCCCAGTACCAGCAAAAAAAAAAAAAAAACGGAAAAAATTTACAAATAATTTCTCTAATAATGAAGCAGCATTAGAAACTGAGGAAAATGTTATATGTTGATCTAGCCTATTTAGTTAATACCGATATAGTCAAGTTGATTTTGTTGTTATTTAAGAAAGCTTGTTTTTTTTTTTTATTCCCTTGGCTAAAATTAGGGCCGTTGTATATTGAAATAGTCATACACCTTTTATATGTGGAAATACGATTGGGGAGAAGAGGGCCAGTTTTCCTTTGATGTTGCCCATAGTTTTCTACAAAGATTGGAAGAAGGAAGTTTTCATTTTCAAAAGAAGTAATGCAAAGTCCTCCTTTTCGTTTTCACCTCTGCTTCCCTGATTATGGAACAGTGAAGAGAGCTCACACTAGCATGCATGACAGTGGCCAGATAGGACCAAATTCAGAAATGGAGATGAAAGCAATGGGTGATAGGGATCACCATATCCTTGAAATCCTACAGTGCCTGATAATATCAACACTTGGTAATCATAAGCACACCTACCTTCTTCATACTACAAAGCAATTTTATGACAGTTTTTTCAAGATGGACTTGACATTCAAGTAGTAGAACCTATGTTCCACCTCATAACTACCAATTAATTCTGTAAGTTTTACCATTATTGCCCAACTAATGAGTATAAGGAGTGTATTTGATAGTCACAGCTGGTTTGGTATGTCATTCCATATATCATTCATTGGATTTTTGAGAGAAATTTGTCTGATTAGTCATTGAGAACTGTATGAAAACCCGTTAAATTTCATGCATTTTCAAGGCAGAGAACAGAGACAAGAGTGTAGATATGTCCTTCTTCAGGCACAGTTTGCTCCAGTTGCTGTGGTAATTAAGATGAAATGAGCTGAGAATGATGGCACCTGCTCTAATCCCAACCCTGGGATTACAGAGGAGGATCACTGATTCAAAGCCAAACTGCACTACACAATGAAACTCTGTCTCTAAAACCAAACCAAACCAAACCAAAACAACGACAACAAAACCCCACCACCAGTAAAAACCAAAGGAATTCTTTTAACTTGCATTTAGATATTTCTTTTAACTTGCTTTTCTTTGAGAATCATTTCAGAAACCTGAACAAAATGTACTTGAAACATGTGATTCCTGTGTTAAGCATGTTTCTCTTGTGTTTCCTTGTTTTTTTTTTATTGTAAAGAAAGTGTACAGAGGGGTTACAGTTATATGAGTAAGGTAATGAGTACATTTCCTATTGAGCTGTGTTTCCTTGTTTTAAGAATGAGAAACTTATGTAACATTTAGTGTTTGTAAATGTCTTCGTTCTTTGGCACAATTCTTAAATCGCATTAGCTTTAGAAATTCAGCTACCAATGGCACTGTGTAAAGGTTTGGTTACTGTTGGACTCTTTCAGACTCTCACTTTTGGTGACGTTGTTGCTGTTCGTTATTATGAGAAGGCCTAGGGAAGCCACTGGTCCCAGACTGAAGAAGTTCTTCCATTATTCTCTGTACTGGGGCCTCAGTACTGTCCTATGATTGCAGCTCAGCTTTTCCCTTATTAGAAGGTTATCCTTGGTGTGGAGGCAGAAAATGGTGATTTACAAACTTGTTTGACCAACCAACCTGTCAAATTTTTGATATGTGAATGAAATGTAAAATGAAATAAAACTAAAATGACATTAACGTTTAAAAGAAAATTCTAGTTTCATTTAACTTTTGTAACAGGTTTTTTTAAATAAAGAAGTGAATACATTTTATTTTCTTCATAATGCAAACCAAACTGGAATAAAAAACTTACATGCACATCAAGTTTCTTGGTTGCTTTTGTTGCCAATAACCTGTTGAGAAGTTGTGTAAAGTTGTATTTTAAAGAAAATAACTTTCTTGTGGCAAAAAGTAAGGCTGGAAAAGTCAGCAGCTTTCAGAAAATATTAATGAAAAAGAAGATATTTCAAAAAATGGGGAGTGTCACATTTTTGTTGGAGACTTTAATGAAGAACTTGAGATGATAAAATTCATTCATTCAGTAAATAAATTCTTCTTATAATGAATTAGCAGACTAGAGAAATGACTTTTTGTTGTTAGAAGCAGTCTGATATACTTCAAAATGTATTAAAATAAGCAAATACAATATTATAGAATTGAAATAATTTATCAACATTTCTGATAAATAGGAAAGTAGATTTCACCCTAGATTATTAAAATGAGGCTCCAGACAATTAAAGTGAGTTAGATTAGGTCAGTAGAAATGTTCAAATAAAGTGTGTAAAAAAATGCATCTAGCCAGGATCTGGTGGTTCCAACCTATAATCCCAAACTACTCAGAGCCAGAATATTTCAATTTGACAATAAAGTTCACTAGACTTCAAAAGAACCAACCAAAAGCAGAATTGGAGTCATCCTCAAGTGGTAGAGTGCCAGCTTCAGAAGGCAGTATTTGCAGGAAGGCAGGAGTTACTGTTTTTACTTTCATGTGAGGAAACGGAATGACATTAGCATGACCAAATCATCATGACTAGTAATTAATACTAACAATGACAAGCTTTACAAGGATGCCCCTTCCTTCCTCCTCAAATCAATATTACAGCTAAATTTTCTTCTGAAACAAAATTGCGACTTATTTTCCCTGATTATTTTTTAGGAAACTTTTCTTCCTTAACTATTGCCCAGGGGAAGTAAATCTTATTCTGATAACTTCCTTCCCTCTTCCCTCCCTCCCTCCCTCCCCTCCCTCTCTTCCTCCCTTCCTTCCTCCCTCCCTTCCTTCCTTCTTTCCTTTCTTCCTTCCTTCCTTTTTGTTCCTTATTTCTTGATACTGGTATTTGGATACATGCTAGCCAAGTGCTCTGTCATTTGAGCCATTCCTCAGATTTTTTTGGTTTTAGTTTATTTTTAGACAAAGCTTCATGATTTGTTGGACCATAATTGTCCTACTGGGGATGGACCATGCTATTCTTTTTTTCTTTTTAATCTGGTCCTGAGGCTTGAACTCAGGGCCTGGACACTGTCCCTGAGCCTATTTGTTCTGTCCCTGAGCCTTTTTGTTCCCAAGTCTAGTATTCTACCACTTAAGCCACAGTGCTGCTTCTAGCTTGTTCTGAGTAGTTCATTTGAAAGACTCTCACTGACTTTCCTGTCCATGCTGGCTTCCAACTGTGACCCTCAGATGTCAGCCTCCTCAGTAGCTAAGATTACTGATGTGAGCTACCAGCCTCTGGCAGACCAAACAGTTGAGATTAGAGGTATATACCCAGCTTGTTTGTCAAGATAGAGTCTTTATTAACTTTTTGCCCAGGCTTACCTCAAACTACCATCTTTTCATTTCTGCCTCCCAGGGTAGCTGGAACTACAGGTATGTACCACTATGCCTTACCCATACAATATTTTTGTTTTATCAACCTAGTAAACTCAGTAAGTTTTCATGTTATCCCAGATACAATAACTTGTAAATATGAGGGTAATTCTTTTAACTCAAAAGATTAACTGCAATGATATTATTGCTTATTATTATTTAGATGACTATCCAGAATTCATGAAATCAGAGATGTTTTGGATTTTGCATATGTGTTTTAAATTTATATACATAAATGAAAAATCTTGGTGCTAAGATCCGAGTTAAATGACACAATTCATTTATGTTTCATATGCACCTGTTGCATATAGCCAATGCCAATTTAGATGGTATTTTTAGTGCAGATGTGCTTTTCCTGGTGCCTGTCACATGATGTCAGTGCTTAAACATTGGGACTTTGGAGAATCTTGGATTTAGGAATTTTGTATTGGAGATACTCCATTTGTAGTTTAGTATAAGTTAGAGAAATAGAGTATAAAGCATAGTGATATGATTTAACATTGAACGCACAAGTATTACTGTCAAGACAAGATTATATAAGTAAGCTTTCTGGTCCTGCAGAGTCTACTGCTGTCTTTAAACACATGAAACAGAACATTAAGAGGATGTTCTCTCCAGTTACCCAATTAGAATTATCTCTACTTCTGGCAAGTGCTGCCCACTTGGTGACTTCTGCCTATGGTGTAGAGACAGATTCTGTGCTAAACATACAATGCAAGAATAGGGTATCTATTCAGCTCATGATAATCAGCTCACATCAATAATATTAATTTCCAACAGAGGAGGCGTGGAAGTCTAAATAGGAAAAACAATGCCACAGTGGGCTAGAAGATCAAGTTCTCGGTGGGGATCACACATAAATTTCTAGACACGTTTCAACATATATTTGTTTACTGACTGTTTATAGAGTAGATTCAAATCATTTTCTTTCCAACGAAAAGCTCTCTCACATAGCGATGTGTCAACATACTAACTTTAAAAGTTTTTTTTTTTAACTTCTTCACCTTCACCAAAAGGTCTGGGAAAGAGAATGGTCTTAAAGATATAAGCTAGGCTAGAAGCTATTTAGTGAAGCTTACACAAAGACTGTGGAGAGCAAGTATGGAATTCTGCTCTCATCTCTCGTGGTTCTTCTCCTAAAGATAAACAGGCACATCTACAAACAGGTCCAGGGTGAGGGCGCAGAGGGAGAAGCCTTGAGAATCTGAGAAGGTGGAAATGAGTATGGAGGAAAACAAGAAGAGAAAATGGAACAGAACGGTACTTCTCCCCACTTATTCTATTCTATTCAAGACAACATTTCCTGGGTTTCAACTATTTCACAGCCAGTTTATACCTTGTCTAATGTACTGGAAATTGAAGGGAAATGGGCAAACCCTGACATTTTTACAATTTATCCACCTCCATTCTTTCGGCTTGGGAACTCACACGTGATTATTTGCTAACCTTGATATTGATCTCTGTCTCACAAGTGCATCTCTGTTTCCATGTGCTACCTACCTTCTCCCTGGCAGTCTACATTAAGGGCTGAGAAACTGCTGGGATCATTTGTTCTGGGAAAGCCCCTGGCTACTTGTGCTGCTTTTGAATCACCTGCAAGCTGAACAAGACTGGGACTATCCTGTCAGGACTTGAAATGACACTCGGTTCCTACTTCAAAGCCCATTTAATTAGACACATTCTCATGAAAACACGCAGGACAGAAACTAAGGTTTTCTCTAATGCAACATAAAGGTACTGTACAATATTGTTAGTGTAAAAATAACCACTGTTGCTAGGTGCCAGTGGTTCATGTATATGATCCTCAGGAGGCTGAGATCTGAGGATTGTGATTCAAAGCCTGTTGGGGCAGGGAAGTATGATCTCCAATTAATCATCCCAAACCTAAAAATAGAGCAGTGGCTCAAGTGGTAGAGTGCTAGCCTTGAGGGGGGCGGTGGACTGTGCCGGGGTCCTGAGTTCAAGATCCAGATGAACACACATACAAACAAATAAACACTTCTAAGGAAAGAACAACATAGCTTGTTCAGAGCCAAATATGAGTGAAGTGACCAGGAACTGGGAATAATGAATTCAATTTATGCTGAATGACATGTTCCACTATGGAAGAAGACACATGGAATTTTGTAGTCACAGAACAGTGGGAAGAATGAAGTAGACTGGCTACTACCAAGCAGGTATTATCATACTGCTGGGGTGTAACACCAGTGGGAGAGTGCCTGCCTACTATGCGTCAGGCTGGTCTCTCCTCCCTGAATTGCTGCTGAAGCTGCATTTCCCACGATGTGTCAAGGTAGCCCTTTGAGACCCAGGGCTTTAATCCCAACTCCCCGCAGCAGCCCCGACCAAAACACACCTCCCTCCAAATTGCTCTGCACAACTTCCTGCCAGAGGCGCTAACTACTGTAGTGCACGGTGGGGCCTTGGGAAGGTGCCCGCCTGAGCACACGCTTTCCCGGTCCACTGGTGAACAGAACAACAACTTAACGACCACTCCCTAGCAGCTGACGTTCAGATAAACGCACGCTTTGGGGGAAAATCAGCTTCTGCACGTGATCGGCTGGGCGTCTACACCCGGAATCGCCTAGTGCCTCCTCCCCACCCCACCCCCACCCCCCAAGGGCCTGACTGTCCCAGGACACCCGAGCCCGCCCGAGTCTCCCTGGGTTGGTGGCCACGCTCGCCATGGCACTGCTGGGCACCTTCCTCTGCTGCCTCCTGGCCGCCTGGCACGGCTGCCCGGGCCTCGGGCTGCCCCTGGCACCCGGGTGTCCCGCTCCGACGGTGGGTGAGTGGTGGGTGGGAGGCCCCCTTTCGTCCCCAGAGCAGCGCCCGGCGCTGCGTTCAAGGACAGCTCAAAGTCAGGATCGTGCGCCCGCAGCTGAGCGCGTAGCTGGGCCGCTGGGGCCACTGCGCTGGCCTCGGCCCCCGGGCGCGGGACAGCAGGCGACCCGTGGATCTGATCGGCGGAGAAGTTGCGGGGGGGGGGGCGGTGCTGGGGTGGCGATCCCGCCCCAGAGCACTCCCAGACCTCTCCGGGGTTCAGCCTGCCCCGCGTTTGTTTACCTCCCCTGGGTCAGCTGCCGGGGGAGAAGGGGGGCGGGGAGGAAGGAAGAGCCCCAGGGCCCGGGGGAAAAAGGAAGCCAGGAGTTGGACTCGGGGTGCCAAGCCCATTGGCTCTCTGTATTTATTCCCACCACTGAGTGCCGTGCCTGGGACCAAATCTCAAAGTGTGCCAGCCACCAACCAACAGCTGGCACAACACCTTCACTTGTGTAAAAGGCAGACTTAAGGTCTCTTGTCAGGATGGGACCCCAAAGGATGTTTAAGCAGCCCTCCTGGTAATGGTGAAGATGCCCAAGCTGGAGAATCGTTGCTCCAGACATTTAGTCTGTTTAGAATGTCTGTGGAGAGATGGATTGTAGGATTCTTTCCTACCCTTTGGTTTCAAAAATCAAAGTGTCACCTCTTGCCCGATTCCCTTAAAAAATAATCACCCTGTTAAAGGGGGAAAGAGGGGCAGTACTGTTCTGCTTTTGAGAAAAACTTTCCCTGAGGGAGATTCATAGTGGCCCTCAGTACTGAGAGCTGTGTGTGTTTGTGTGTGTGTCTGTGTATGTGTATGTGTCTGTGTCCTGTCTCCCATTCTCTAGTAGTATCTGCTCTATACAGTACTTCAGAGGTGGGGGGTAGGCTGGGGGAAAAATGATCCCTTCTTTTGGGCAGAGGGCCAGACTCGCATGATTCAGTGTTAAGGCAGTTGGAAGCAAGAACTGTAAATCTGGTTTTCCAACTGTGGGAAATGTCAGTCAACAACACATTGCCACTCAAATGTTTGCATGTGTTGGCATCTACTTCTAGATGAGCTGGAGTCCTGTGACTTTGATTCAAGGCAGATTTTAAGATAAAATGGCTCAGGGTTGCCCGAGGGCTCCCATAGGCAAATGACTTGATTCCTAAAGGCCTTCTTGCTGACTTTCTGAGGGTGATGTGAATGTTGTCTTCTGGTTATCTGCCAAGTTTTGGGAGGGAAGTTGAAAGGTGGAATGACCTCCTGCTGCAGAGGAAGGGATACGGGTGAACTGGTCTCCGTGTTGACTCAGTGGTTTATTTTTTTTTCCATTTGATATGACTCGTTATCTCCTTCCAGTCTCCAATCTTGGTATTTCATAACAACTCCCACCTTTCCTGACTTCTGCTTGTTATGCTTTTGTGTGCTTAAAATGTCAGTCTCAGGTCTACTGCCCTACTGAGTTCTACCAAACTCTACATTTAGTAGCTGGCTAACTATTATGTGTTTAGTACATGGGAAATAACAGTATACATATTAACATTTAAACAACAAGCACACATCTAAATAGCTGCTGAGGTTCAATGAGTTCTTCATGATAAATTACCATTTCTTTTTTATTTAAAGATTTTTTAAGGTAACCTTGACATTTATCTAGGTAGATTGCACCCCCATGTATTTTTTTAATTGTCTTAGAACAATAAAGTCACTCTGCTCTTTGAACTAATAAATCTGAATCTGTCACAGTCCACAGACCTTAGAAACACACACACACACACACACACACATGCACACAGCTTTTTGTGTATAATTGTATTTCAGGCAGGAAGTAAGGCCTCCAGATATTCATTACTCATAAATCTCAGGTTAGCTCTATTCTTGGCACCTATTTAAAGCCATCTTTCAGGAAATGGAATTAAATACCCCCTCATTTGTCTGTCTGGCATTGTGACATAGCAGAAAGAGCACTAATGTCTGGATAGACTGGTTCTAGGTCAGCTTTCATTTCAGAATCATGTAGTCTTGAGGAAGTTCTGAAATCTGCCCTGGCTTAAATGTCATGACACATAAATTGAATGATCAGAATTATTCTGGATACTGGAGATACAGAAATCAGGTAGTACTAGATTACATCAGATGTATGGGCCCCCAACGAATTTAAACTGTTGGGTTATATAACTATGTTTATTATATCTCCCTTTATCTTCACAGTATCTCCTAGGTGGATGTCACTGCCTGTATTCATGTGAGCTGGGACAAGATGCATGACCATAAACACAGGCAGAGAAAGTGTGTTCTGTGATTAAGAGCAACAGAGACTCAGTGGGCTTCCCGAGTTCATGTATTAGCGTGTGACTTGAACTTAATTTCTGTGTACTTTCCTAGCTATATAATGGAGAACAGTATTAAGCTAATACATGGAAAGCATATAAAAGAGCTTAACATATAGTAAGTAGATGACAATATTTAATAATTATTAAGAAATTGGGAAGTTTAATTCAAATTTCAAGTTTGGAGTTAGAACACAATAATGGTAGAACTAATATGAACTACTAGATGGAACACATCTTCTAAATCTCACAGAAGACACTATTATTATTCCTATTTAGAAGATGTTTTCAGAAGAATAAGTACTATGTAAGTTGCCTATAAGCCTTTTTTGTTTGTTGGTTTTGCCAGTCCTGGGACTTGAACTTGGGGCCTGGTCTTAGTGTCTGAAACCAGTGGTCTGAGCTTCTTTTGCTCAAGGTTAGCACTCTACCCCTTGAGCCACATCACCACTTCTGGCTTTTTTGATAGTTATTTGGAGATAAGAGTCTCAGGGACTTTGCTGCCCTGGGTAGGCATCAAACCACAATCTTCAGATCACAGCCTCTTTATTTAGTAGCTAGGGTTATAGGCATGAGCCACTGGCCACCACTCCTGTGTAACTCTTTAATATGGACTTCTATCTCTCTTTTGCCTACCACTTGTTAAATGAGAACTTGTAGTTTAAAATTATAAAAACAGGGCTGGGAAGGTGGCTCAGTGGTAGAGCTCTTCCCTTGCATGCCTGAGGCCCTAGGTTCGATTCCCCAGCACCACATAAGCAAAAAGAAAAAAGCCAGAAGTGGCACTGTGGCTCAAGTGGTAGAGCGCTAGCCTTGAGCTGAAAAGCTGAGGGACAGCGCCCAGACCCAGAGTTCAAGCCCCATGACCGGACCCCTCCCCCCAAAAAATTAAAAAAAAATTATAAAAACACTGCCAAGAAACAGCTCTCAAAGGACAATGCACTATTTCCCCTTTAACAGATTTACTGTTTTCACTGTATTTTTTTCCACACTGAGTTTTAAGCCTTTATTATCATTTCATACATGAAAGTTCTGATGTGTTTCTGATATAAAGCACTGGTAATCAGTGAGCTCAAAAATTCTGTGTATTTTAATAGTTTATTTTGAAAGCAAGTTTAAAAATAATTAAAAACAGCAATCTGAGGGTAAAATGTACAAAATATACTCATAAAATAATAAATTCAAGCAAGGAAAATGTGTTTCCATCTGCAGCTCAAAAACTCAGTTTTGTCCTGAAAGTTACATCTCCAAAAAAGGAAATTAGACCTGATTATGCATGGTTATTTTAAAAGTACAGCTATTAAAACTCTTTATCACAGAAATCACAAGAAACTGTGGGGGAAAAACCAAAGTTAAATTAACAAGATAGCAGAAGGTCCCCAAATCATTTAACTTATCTGTAAGTTACATGAGAAAACTTGGGGCACTTCAAAGTGAGGTTCAAATTAACCATGTCTGTTTGAACCAGTTCTCTAATTGATCAACCACTAGTTTCTCAACTCCAAAGTCAGTCTTGATTCTAACTTCATAGAGCTTTGGAGAACCTAGGCAATTCCTATTCTGTTTATGTGAAGATTACTACAACTTGCATTTTTTTTTGTCTGTTGTGGGGCTTGAACTCTGGGCCTGGGCACTGTCCCTCAACTCTTCAGCTCAAGGGTAGCCCTCTACCACTTGAGCCACAGCGCCACTTCCAGCTTTTTCTGCTTATGTGGTGCTGAGGAATCAAACCCAGGGCCTTATGCATGCAAGGCAAGCACTCTACCACCGAGCCACCTTCTCAGCCCTACAACTTGCAATTTATATTGCATTGCTAGTAAAGGTTTTGTTTGGTTCTTTAGTATTGAAAAGCAAAGTTATATAAAGATACAATCAGATATACATTTTCTGCTTTTGCAATCTACTTGATTTGTGTGGCGATGGCAAACTATATCAATATTTTTATCAGAGGGATCCATATAATTTAACATACCTTAAAATATAAAAAATGATATATTAAGCAAGAATATAATATGAACACAGGTTCTCAGAAAAATGGCTCAATAAATTTTATTATGAGAACTCATCCTTTTACTTATTTATTTTTGGTGCCAATCCTAGGGCTTGCACTCAGGGCCTGTACACTCTGTTGAGCTTTTGTGCTTAAGACTAGTGATCTACCACTTGAGCCAAGTTGCACTTCCAGCTTTTCCGGTAGCTAACTGGAGATAGGAGTCTTAAAGACTTTCTTGCCTAGGCTAGCTTCAAATTGCAATCTTAGCCTCCTGAATTGAATAGTCACGATTACAGGTATGAGTCATCAGTACATGGCCAATCTCATCTTTCTAAAGTATTATTTACTTTTATTTTTGTTTACTACCCTTAAGTAGTTGTACAAGGGATGTGCCATTCAATAAAGCAGTTTATAAATACAATGCTTCTTGATGAATGACACCTCTTTCAACTTTCTCACCCTTCCCTCCCAACCATCCCTTTCCTCACTTTTCTTTTTCATTCTTTCTGTTTTTTTTTTTTTGTGTGTCACTTGTGGGCTTGAACTCAGATTCAGGGCACTGCCCCTGAGCTTTTCACTCAAGGCTAATGCTCTACCACTTTGAGCCACAGCGCCTCTTCCAGTTTTCTGGTAGTTAATTAGAGGTAAGAGTCTCATGTACTTTCCTGCCCAGGCTGGCTTGGAATCTTGATCCTCAGCTCTCAGCCTCCTGAGTAGCTAGGACTACAGGCTTGAACCACTGGCACCTGGCTCTCATTTTTCTTAGGTAATATTGAGTTCATTTGTCCAGACACACCAATTTCCTGTGTTCTTCCTATTGTTCTTCTCAAAGGGAAGAATTGTATTTAACTTTGTGGTATTAGAACACTTACTTTTTGAGGACTTCCATCCATCATAGAGAGTGGCTCTAGTTTTAAAGTATGGGAGTCCTGAAAGTGAAGAATATTAATCAAGATTTCTTTTTAATCCACAGGGCAGTTTTGGCATGTAACAGACTTACACTTAGACCCTACTTACCATATCACAGATGACCACACCAAAGTATGTGCTTCATCCAAGGGTGCAAACGCCTCCAATCCTGGCCCTTTTGGAGATGTCCTGTGTGATTCTCCTTATCAACTTATTTTGTCAGCCTTCGATTTTATTAAAAACTCAGGACAAGAAGCATCTTTCATGATATGGACAGGGTAAGCTATTATGTCAATACTTCTTAATATTTTGGTATTTGTCTTTTAAAGTTTTTTTCAGTTTCATTACAATGCTGAATTACATTAAAGAGAGAAATTATGTTTTAAGAATATTCAGATTAAAGCTGTTAGATCCAAATAGCGTTATCAGAGACATAAAGGAAATTTATAATATAAACTTTAGAAATGCATTACTTTTAACCAGGATATGCTGTCTGTAAATGTACACTTACATTAACATCTTGAAGTACCGATTAATGTAGTAACTTGAGGAAAAAGACAACAATAAGAATTAACCTATGGGAACAATTTTTGAAAACATTTTCTAGTAGTAAAATTAAGTATTTCTATCTACTATAAAAGAAGGGTGAGCTGGGTGCTGGTGGCTCATGCCTATAATTCTAGCTACTCAGGAGGCTGAGATAAAAAGATCATGGTTCAAAAGCCAGCCCAGGCAGGAAAGTCTGTGAGAGCCTTATCTCCAATAAACCATCAGAAAAACCAGAAGAGGTGCTGTGGCTCAAGTGGTAGAGAGTTGGCCTTGAGCTGAAGAACTGAGAGACAGCACCCAGGCCCAGAGTTCAAGCCCCATGACAAAAAAAAGAAAAGAAGAAGAAGGATGAGGTTTGTATGTCTACTGGTAAAATACTGATCATGGCTAATACTCATAGAGTATTCATTTTGTGATGGGTATTGTATTAATTTATATATTACAACTTATTTAATCTATTATAGTTGGCTTCACTATTATTATATTTCAAATTATTTGGAGATAACAATCATCTAAATAATTTGTTCAATTATATAAAACTAGTGATTGGCATTTGAATACCTTTGAGTTTGAAACCTTTGTTTTTACGAATACTGTAGTTTTGTTTTACTTATCATAAAATTTTAGTAAGGCATTAAAATAGGTTGGTATTTCGTGTGTGTGTGTGTGTGTGTGTGTTATATTATTTCTTGAGATAAGGTCTCAGTAAGTTGCCCAGTCTGATTTTGAACTCCTGGGCCTAAGGAATCCTCTTGCCTCAGATGTCTGAGTAACTGAGACGATAGGTATACTATCATGAACTTTTCAATTTAGTCTGCTATATTAAAACAGAAGTTTCCAATAATAGGTTTAGAAATGGAGCATACATGCGTCTAGTGACTTCTTAAAACAGATTTTGTTCTTTCTAATTCTGTCTCCATTTAAGTGATAGCCCACCTCACGTTCCAGTACCCGAACTCTCAACAGATACTGTTATAAAGGTCATCACTAATATGACAACGACAGTCCAGAACCTCTTTCCAAACCTCCAGGTTTTCCCTGCACTGGGAAATCATGACTACTGGCCACAGGTAATGCCCACGTCAAATTCAGAAGTCAACATCAGATATCAAATTCCAGGGCTTTTGTCTTCAGTAATTTCTAAATTATGATGTTAACTAGCCAGTGATAGTGCACAGGAAGAGTCTTCAGAAGGAAAGGCATATTCCTGGAGTTGACAGTCAAGGAAGGCAAGACAATACTCTGGGTACTTTAGAAGAATTGAAATATATAATTAATTAAAAGATACATCAACAGTGAGTTTTCAGAATGAAGTTTGTAGAATGTTAATTCTTGTTTTCTTTTCATTATCCTCTTCAATTTCTCCTCTTATTTGAATAGTTTTCATGTTCATTTTCTTTTCCATGCCAGGTTTAGCGAGGAAGATTAGTGTTGACAAATGTTTGTATTTTCTAGAATTATATATTAGGCACACAAAGATCAGCACGCTCTGATTTAAGATAACTCCTGATTAAAAACAACAATCAGGGCTGGGATGTAGCTCAGTGGCAAAGCACTTGCCTAGTAAGTGTAACATCTAGTATCAAAAAAGAAAAGACCCAGGCTGGGAAGGTGGCTCAGTGGTAGAGCGCTTGCCTTGCATGCATGAGGCCCTGGGTTCGATTCCTCAGCACCACATAAGCAGAAAAAGCTGGA